GCTCTCAGCTCAGCAGGGAGCCTGCTTCTCCCTCTCCCCCCTCCCCCTCCGCTTGTGTTCCCTCTCTCGCTATCTCTCTCTGTCAAAGAAATAAATAAAATCTTAAAAAAAATTGGCATCTAAGAGGTCTCTGGTGTCTGATAACAGCACGGCTCCTAACTCATAGATGGCAGAGGAGTCCAATACAGACAGCTAATACGGCAGGGTGATAATCGAATAGGGCGTTAGTGTGGGGGTGCGGAAGAGGAATAGGAATGGGGTCCCACCGCGTTTCTAGAGACTGACCATTGAGAGAAGTACATGAACCTCTGCCGCATCCTCTCATGCCAATTCTGAGTAAATATCCAGTATTTACTGGTCCCCAACCCCCCCGAGTGCCGCTTACCGCGGCAGGATATAAGTTGATGGAAAGGATGGGATCTGAACCCGAGTTTCGGGAAATTTCTCCCTTTTCCAGGGTGCAGACCACAGTTCTAAAGGTCTTCCCTTTGTATAGGTCTGACTTCGTACAAAGCTAAGTTAAGCCACATTTCAGGAGACTCCACACACTGAAAAGCACACTCGCACACGACCGTAGGGGACATAGGGGGATCACGTGACTGCAGGATCCGTGTAACCCACAGCTGTCGGGGGTCTACCTGACTTCCACGGCCTTCACTGGCAGGGTCCACATGACAGAAAGATCCAAGTGACTTCAGGGTTTAGGAGCAGTGGATTTTCATGTGACGGAGAAAGCTGAGCCTCACGAGACCAGAGGATATAGGTGACCAATGGTGATTGGGTAGTGCGGTGCTCACGTGACTGCCACGTAATGGTAGGAGTCACATGGCTCCTAACTCATAGATTTACAGTTTGGTAGCCCACGATCTCCATGTGATAGAGACACATGGTGGTGGCTCCAAGTGACCTTCCTTAGCACACAAGCTTGGGCTTTACCTGCCCCACCCTTTTTTTAATGTGCTAATTCTATGTTATTTTTCTAATAATACATGAGATTTAAAACATAAATTAATACATAGCAATGAAATGGGTCCTCCCTAAAACCATAACAATTGCCATATTGTGGAGATTACATCAAAAGCCTAAGGAGTGGTTACAGATAAGCATTGTTGACTTAATTTTGTGCAAGTCTAAAGGAAATTAAAGCAAACCAATAAGTGAATTTTAGCTTTTAATTTGAAAAAAAATGTGTAATTACTATGTGTCAAGGACTTAAAAATGTTAACTCATTTAATAGTTGTAATTCTATGGCATAGGTACTATCTTTATTATTCCAATTTTCACAGATGAGGAAGTTGAAGCACAGATGTGTTAAGCCACTTGCCTAAGAAGTCAGAATTTATAGATGTCAAGTCAGTGATTGCCTTCAGACACTTTGGATCCAAACTTTGTCTTCTGATCAACCACTAGATTCTCCAAAGAAAATTAATATTAATTCAGCCTTCCTTATTCAGACTAACTGGAAAGCCATCCTCAGTTTCTGAAAAGTTGAGATAATGGAGGACCTCTTTGAAATGCCATTTAAATAATTTCAAGTACTACCAGTACTTAGAACTATTCAAAATTGAAACTTTAATTTTTAATTAAGGCCCTTAGATTTATTTTAATGTATAAATATAATTGTAATAATATATATAATATTCATTTATATAATAGGTGGTATATAATGCTAAATGCTAGTTGAAAACATCTCCTTTTAAATAAATACCAAAAAGGGAAATATTGCAGAATTTAAACATAATACCTGGCTCTTGCTGGAATTACAAAAATTAAAAATGAGTGGAATCTGAATTAGATATTACTGTGTATATTAGATATACTTTGAACTTCCCTAGAAAGAAGAGAAAGGGGAAGAATATACAATGTAGTTTTTTTTTTAAATTGCAGTTTTATGAACACCTCTTTTGCTGATTTGTGTGGAAAACTGAAGCTTTGTATGTATATCCGCAATAAATTTGATGTGGCCTTTCTGGTTTGCTGACTTAGGAAACTTAATGCTATAAAAGCAATGGTATTATTTTGCTGGGTACCTGCAATATAGCATAGTTACACAAATAAGCTGAAGAAATTTCAACAGACCAAATTTTGCACCCGGGCTGAATCTGAATATTTTAGTAAGGAGGACAACAGACTCTGTATTTGTAGTTCTAAGACTACTGAAGGAAGTTGTGATTTTCTTTTTGATTGACTACAATTCATGAAAATTGGTGTTCTGTAGATAATTTTGAAAAATCATTTATGGGACACATGTAAATGCAGGTTATGAAAATGGAGCCATGTATTTACAATAAAACCTATTACAAAATTTCAAATCAGATTCAGGAAGCATCTTTATAGTCACAGGAGTCTGACATCAAGACCTTATGCCTGGCCCAACTCTAGTTTCTGTAACTACCTACAGATGGACAGATCACAGTGTAAGACACAGCAGAATTATACCTATCCCACTTATGCTCAAGTGAGACTTACACATATTGATGGTGATTGAGATCAGCTTCTTTCACCAAAAGATGAACACTGTAGTTCTAATTATAACTTTTCTTCAGAAAAGTCAGATTTTCTCCTGTCAGACCTGTAGTCATATCATATATTTTTCCTCTGAGATGATTACCAGGAATTTTTTAGGATTAAAAAAATATTTAGTTACATCAATGGGTGCCTGTCAGCACTGTTTAATATACATTGGGGGGGGGTGCTAAGCCTGCGGATAAACATCTATATGAACACAGCTTATATGTGCTAGGCAGTTTACACACTGTATTTATCAGGTACTGCATTTATTTGAGGCAGATTGATATGTCATTCTTCTTGAACATTATTTGGCAAGATTTGTTGGGAACAACTTTTACTACTTTTATATTTCTGTTTTGTGGTGAACATTTTGGAGGTCAGCGCTAGTGGCTTTTGGAGGAGTGGCTTTACCTAACACAGAAAGATGGAAAAGGGGAATAACAGGCAGTTGTGATCCATTAAATTAAACATAAATACTCAAATGCTTTTGGTTCAAAAACAAATATGTACAACTGAATTAGAGGTCCTATGTGAATTTACTTCCAGAAAGTAAAATTGACTTACCTGATAACATTATACAAGGGAATTCATCAGATGTGACTGTATCTTTATAGAAATTGTAATCAGAAGATGGTTGTTTTTTTGTTCAAGAAGTTCATTATTTAACTAGAAGTAATTTTACTGTCAGTGTCAAGCAGTGGGAAAGAAGAGAACCAGTTGTAGACAATGCTCCGTGACAAAGTGCTCCCTATGCTCCCCTTCCCTAATATAATGTAAAATTCAACAACTACAGATAATGAGTTCATTCTTGGGGGCTTCCACAGCATGGAAATAGAAAATTACATCTACAATGAAAACTTCTTTGAGGCCAAAGGATGGAGAGGAATGAAAAGATTGGGATTCCTTACAGGATTTTTGCTCACGAGCTGTGCCATTTATGATAGTATGATTCTCTGATACAGTTTGAAAACCCCATTCACATGAAGACCATTAAAAATAAGTAAGTGTGGTTCAAGGTTTTAAAGTTATCAAAAGTGGAAAATGTAAACGGTCTCACCTTGGCTTTTGTTATCTACTCAATGTAACTGTTTTTTGCCACTCAAAAAATAATCTTTAAAAATATTGTGAAATCAGTTTTTATGTAAGCAGCCACACTGTTTTGTTATTATATCACACTTCAATCTACTGCTGAGAGAGATGTCTGCAAATGATATAAATGAGTGAGCTTAGCCAGCTTTTTAAAAAATATTTTATTTATTTATTTGACAGAGAGAGACACAGCAAGAGAGAGAACACAAGCAGGGGGAGTGGGAGAGGGAGAAGCAGGCTTCCTGTGGAGCAGGAAGCCCAGTATGGGGCTTGATCCCAGGACCCTGGGATCATGACCTGAGCTGAAGGCAGACACTTAACGACTGAGCCACCCAGGCGCCCCAGCCAGCTTTATTCAGAAGAAAATTAGGCTTGGGAACTAAGTGATATTGGTAAACTTTGTATTTCCATAATATCCCCAGATAATTTCTTAATTATCTACTTCACAACAGTCTGTTTGAGCCCAATTATAACCTAAAATGTACAAGATGCTCTACCAGTATATTCTTTCACAAAATGCAAAAAACATGGCATGTCCTGTGATCTCTAAAAACTGACAGGTACTTTTTTTTTGTCACTGAATCAATTTTATTTATTTTTATTTTTTAAATTTTAATTAATTTTCTATTATTAACATATAATGCATTATTTGTTTCAGGGGTACAGGTCTGTGATTCATCAGTCTTACACAATACACAGGTACTTTCAAAAGTCCACTAGAACCTGATTCTGAAATCCAAATTTAGTTCAGTGTATCGGTTTTTATATGGGATACTTTTATACAAACCAGCAATTAAAAGTCTTTCAAATGATATAAATTAATACATGCAAATGGTTAGAGTAGAAAAACTGAAAATTTAGATTTAAATTCATTCAAGTCCCTTATGCAGTAATAGACATTGAAACACAAATTATATAAATAAGTGTAATTGGAAATTAAATAAATTTGACATCTGCCACACTAACCAGAAAATCATACTCTAGCTACACAATTTTTAGCTGATAAATTTGGTAAGCACACACTCAACATCCTAAAACAAAAGTCTCGTATGGCAGAAATTAAAAATACTGCAGAAGAGGGAGCTAATTTTCTTGATGTAGTTTCCTAAAGGAAACACATTCTTTTGAAAGGGATTGTAGAATGTAGCTTATAATTAGTTTCTTGTAATAAACTCATTATTGATAAAATATTATCAGTAATTAGAAATGAAATTTCTAATTTGAAATTGAAGGTGAAAATGAAGGACAAACAATGTTTAAAAAATTCTTCTATTAAATATTAGTAAATCAAATCCAACCGTACATTAAAAAATCATTCACCACGATCAAGTGGGATTTATTCCTGGGCTTCAAGAGTGGGTCAATATATGCAAACCAATCAATGTGATACACCACATTAATAAAGGAAAGGATAAGAACCATATGATCCTTTCGATAGATGCAGGAAAAAAATCATCTATTAAAAACATCAAAAAGTAAGTTGACTGTTATAAAATGACTGAACAGGTTGCTCAGTTGGTTTAGTCAATCATGACATTAATAAAAAATGAAACAACAAACATGATACTTCTTTTTTTTTATTTTGGCAAGAACACTTAACATCAGATCTACCTTCTTAACCAATTGTGATCAAAAGTATTGTTATCTATAAGCACAATGTTATACATCAGATCACTGGAGTTTATTCATCTTGCATAACCAAAATTTATACATGTTGTTTAGCGCAACTCCCCATATCCCCATCCTCCTACCTAGCCCCTGATAACCACCATTCTCTTCTTTGCTTCTATGAAATTAACTATTTTAGATGCCACATATAAGTGTAATCATGCAGTCCTTGTCCTTCTGTGACTAGCGTATTTCACCTAGGAAAACGCCTTCAAGTTTCCTCCATGTTGTTGCATATGGCAGGATCTTTCTTAAGGTTGAATAATACCCCATTGTATGTATATATCACATTTCTTTATTCACTTATCTTTCTATGGACCTTTTGGTTGTTTCCACATCTTGGCTATTGTGAATAATACAATGAACATGGACTACTAATTTCTCTTCAAGATCCTGATTTCAATTCTGTTCAATAAATACTCAGAAGTGAGATTGCTCTATCA